AAAAATGAGTCAGATGACAATTAAAACTGGATTTAAAAACAGAGGCTAATCTACCTCCTTTACTGGTGATCAGAAGAGAGCTAAAGAAAGTACAGCCAGGAGGGAGAAAATGGAACTTACTCACAAACATGGCCAAGTTTCTGTCAAGAAAATAAAATCTTTTTTTTTTTTTTTTACAGTGGTAAAATAGTTAGGGCTAGGTACCTTTCTAAAAAAAATTGGTATCAGTACTGGTGTCGGTACCTTCACTTCGGTGTCGGTTCCTGGATGGTTCTTTTTTCGGTACCAATTTTTTATTAATATTAATTTTAACAAGAATAAAATTATTCTACACATTACAGTGCAGTGAGTTTTATTGTTTAACTTTAGTATTTCTATTCCAAGCAGTTCTCTTACATAAAAATAAACAAATAATTTCAAGGTCAAAAGAACAGTTGCAAACAACAAGTGACACGTCAGTGTCTAATGCTCACTGCTACACACTGAGGACCTTTTCACTTCACAGTTTTTCTTCAGAAAAATCAAAGTCTGCTTTCTATGTACACAAACAAGCCACTCCTGGCTGATGGTGTCTCCAGCAGTGGAAAATGTTCTCTCTGAGGGTGAGGATGATGATTGCACACACAGATACCTGGTTGTCATGTTCGATAGCATTGTCATAGTGTCCCTCACATTCCACCACCAGGTCACTGGATTCACTGAGATTAGGTTTAATGGCAGACTTCTGTATATCTGTGTCTTTTCCTGAATCTTCTCTGTGGTTCTCTGGGGTTTAGGGCTCTTATCATCTCCCTAATTGACATTAGTACACAAAACATCAACAATAACATGCTTGTGTTATTATTGCTCAAAAAACATCCATCTAGGATGAGAGATAAAGTCATAACTGGTCAACAATATTTTTTACAGCTTAACAACAAAGTCCATGCTCAATAGTCCAGGTATAAAATCCAACATTTTTCAGTCAGGTCATCTGCACAGTTTCTTTTTTTGTGCTGAAACGTTTCGCCTTCGGTCCAGAAGGCTTCATCAGTCAAGGAAACACACAACAAAACTGGTTCTTCCTCCAACAGCTTACTCAAAAGTGGAATAAACCAGTTCTGCTTGTGATTAGATGGTTTCTTTGGTACGCCCCTCCTCCATTGTCGGCCTTCTTCCTTGTTGACAGTCTTGTCAAACTGCTTGAAAACAACAAAGTCCATGCTCAATAATTCAGGTATAAAATCCAACATCTTTCAGTCAGGTCATCTGGACAGTTTCTTTTTTTGTGCTGAAACGTTTCGCCTTCGTTCCAGAAGGCTTCATCAAAAATCGAAGGCAAAACGTTTCAGCACAAATAAAGAAACTGTCCAGATGACCTGACTGAAAAATGTGGGATTTTATACCTGGATTATTGAGCATAGATTTTGTTGTTTTCAACCAGTTTGACAAGACTGTCAGCAAGGAAGAGGGCCGGCAATGGAGGAGGGGCGTACCAAAGAGACCATCTAATCACAAGCAGAACTGGTTTGTTCCAATTTGGAGTAAGCTGTTAGAGGAAGAATCAGTTTTGTTGTGTGTTTACTTGACTGATGAAAGCTTCCGGACAGAAGGCGAAACGTTTCAGCACAAAAAAAAAAAAA